CAGGTCCTCCCTGTCCTTCAGGTGCTTTTGATCAGAATGCAGTGGCTGTTTGAGTTAAATGCCTCCACTTGCCCACCCCAGGTGCTGGGCATAATGTGTTAAACCAGCTTTAAACAGTGACAGCTCTGCCATGACCCAGTGGGAATGGTAGCAGTGGTGTGAGGGGTCATCAGCTGCTGCTCTGCATCCCTGGGAGCAGGGGGCCACAGGAGAGCCCCAGGGATGGTGGCTGGCCAGCATAGGTGTGCTGCCTACAAGAGGTTCAAGGCCCAGCAAAAATCCTGCCTAAAACAATTTAAGAGACTTGAAGTTTTCCAGCATATACAACAGAAGGCAGACAGAAATCCCTGAGGGGGGTCAAATCCTGGCTTGAGCCAGGGCCCAGCCATCCCTCATCCTGGCCCACATTTTGTGCTTGCCACCTGGTGCCTCCAGCATGGATGCCTCTCACCTACCTGCAGCAGTACGTTCAAGGCATCAACAGCCAAATTGTTTGGGGCCCTAACCTGGATTTCACACAGGAGTGAGGAAGGCAGCCGCCATGGGCTAGATCACACATAGCTCCCCCGCGCCTCCTTGCTCCCACCCTCCTGCTGGGCTTTGTTCTTGATGTTCATGAGAGAGGGGCAGCAGGCAAGCTCAGAGCAAGAAAACCACGTGATTTAACATTGGCTCTATCATAGAACCACCTAGGTTGGACAAGACCTTTAAGATCATCAAGTCCAACCATTACCCCAGGACTGCCAAGTCCATCCCTAAACCATGCCACTAAAGGCCTCTACTACATGTGTTTTGAACACTTCCAAGGGCAATGATGCCACCACTTCCATGGGCAGCCCGTTCCAATGCCTGATTACACTTTTGGAGAAGAAATTTTTCCTCATATCCAATCTAAAACTCCCCTGGCACAGCTTGAGGCTGTTACCTCTTGTCTTACCGCTTATGACTTGGGAGAGGAGACCAGCCACCTCCTCACCCCATCTTCCTTTCAGGTAGTTGTAGAGAGCAGTAAGACCCCGCTGACCCTGTCTTCCCCAGACCAAACAACCCCAGTTCCCTCAGCCATTCTTCATGAGACTTGTGCTCCAGGCCCTTCACCAGCTTCATTGCCCTTCTCTGGACCCACTCCAGCAACTCAAGCTCGCTCTCAGCAATGCCAGAAATTACTTTTCCCCTCCCAACCCATGTCAGCCAGTTGGCAGCACAGCCTGGAGCTCGCCGTCCCACCAGCCCTGTTCCAAGGGCAGAAACCCCATGCCAAAAGCATGGACGGCCTTCAGAGGGGGACTGCAGGTATTGCTAGCCGAGGAATCTGGTCCCGCTCTTCCCCATGTCTCCCTCCCTGCCTGCTGCTTTGTTCTCTGCCTTCCTTTAGTGACTGTCCCAGGGAGCGATGGGGGCCGGTGCTCCTTGGCAGGCAGCTGTGGCAGTTGCTATGTGATCTGCACACACAACACAGCTGCTGTGCCTGCTGCCGGTCCCGAGTCGCGCCGCACAAGTAACGCAGCGGGGAGCTGCTGGGAATGGCAGCGGGGCTATAAATAACATGGGGCGTAAGGCAATTCATTCCAGGATGCAACGCATACTTGGGGCTTGTGTTACATCACTCCCAGCTCTATATGGGAATCGTTTCTGGTCAGAACATGGAACTAAAGCTGCGCTGCTCTATGCTCTGTTGTGGTTTTTTTTTTTCCCAGAAGGGATAAGCCAAATTCACTCTTGTGATTCAAGGAGGTGACCCTCAGACCCATCAATGGAGAGGACTCGGGATTCAAAGGGCATTTATCCACAATTGCACTGTGCAATGATTTATACAACCCAGAATTCCCTCTGTCCCGTGATACCCAAACCATGCTAGGAAAGAAAGCAAGCTTTGTGCTGCACACTTGAGGGAACCCAGTGGGGAGCTGCAGTCATTTGTGCAGGGTTTTAGGAGCCACATTGGGAAAACTACGAGAAGGCAGATCCACAATGCGGGGAGATCAGGTCTGCGGGCATCCCAAAGAGAATAAGAGGCTTTCACGGCCCAGAAGAAATCTAATGGGCTGGTGCATTTATCATAGATAAGCCATAGGAAATCTGTGCTCAGTGAGGGTGTAATTCTGCAACACACATTCCTTTGATCCCCGTGCAAACAAGCTGCCAGCAAACCCTGGCAGCAGCAGAAGCAAGCAAAGTGACACCACCTTCATGTGCCTTGTCCACACTTTACTGCAGTCAAAGCGGACCTGGGAGCACAGGCTTGCACAGGGAGGCCAGCAGCGATTCGTGGTGGCTGCAGCCCAGGCAGACGTCCCTTCTCCTGCTCCAGCTCGGAGGCATGGTAGCTCCTGGCAGAGGGACAGAACAGCCATGTGGGAGCGGGAACGCCTTAGACATGTTGGCGGAGCCCCAGAGCTCATCTGTCAGAGCCTGCAGCTCAGACGAAGTCGTTCCTCTGTCCCTGCTTGGGGCAGCCGTGCTGGCTCAGACCAGCAGCCTGCCTCACCTGTGTCTGACAGCGAGACTGGGAGCAGGCACCCACAGAAGAGTCACACCGGGGCACCCGCCCCTCTACCCGTCACTCCTGGCTTTGCAGAGGTCTGAATATATCCCTATGGTGTCAGTGATTCCCAGGGCAGGGGCACAGTGTTCCATTCCTTGGCATGTCCTTGCTGCCTTTCTCCAGACCTCTCTGCACTTAACTGCATGGCGGGGGGGTGGTCCCAGCCAGAGCACACCACTAGGCAGGGAGGATGGAGACAAGCCCCATGGTGGAAACAGAGACAAGGTATCACCCAGCGCAGTGACAGGAAATGCTCCCAGCTCCCGTGGGCTTTGGAAGTTACCTGCATACACCAGCCCAGAGCACAAGCACTGCACCCCAGCCAGGTGCCCTGCAGCTTCTCCCAAGGCCAGGGGTGCCCAGGGGTGCCAGCCTATATGGTGTCTCTTACGGTGGTTGTGATATTTCATAGAACCATGGAGTGATTTGTGTTGGAAGGGACCTTAAAGCTCATCCAGTTCCAACCCCCTGCCAGGGGCAGGGACACCTTCCACTTGACCAGGTTGCTCCAAGCCCCATCCAGCCTGGCCTTGGACACTGCCAGGGATGGGGCAGCCACAGCTTCTCTGGGCAACCTGTAACAGTGTCTCACCGTCCTCATAGTGAAGAATTTCTTCCTGATACCTAACCTATATCTACCCTCTTCTGAGTTCAAAGCCATTCTCGGTTGTCCTGTCACTACACGCCCATGTAAAAAGTCCCTCTCCAGATCTCCTTGGGCCCTCTTTAGGCACTGGAAGCTGCTCTAAGGTCTCCCTGGAGCCTTCTTCTTCTCCAGGCTGATCAAGCCCAGCTCTCTCAGCCCATCTTCATAGCAGAGGTGCTCCAGCCCCCTGACCATCTTCATGGGTGTTTTCTGCCAAGCCTCAGGTTCTGGAGGCGAAGGCGGGAGGGTCAGAGCGGAGGGAGGGCGAGGTGAGGTGGCAGCCGAGGCGGCTGGGGTGAAGACGTTTCCAGAACCCGAGCGGTAAAGAGGTGCTTATAGCTCCGGAGTGCAGCGGCCCGGAGGCACGACGCTCACCGCGTCTCTCCAGCAGGAGGCTCCCCCGCCCCGCAAATGCACCGCCGGGGCTGCTTTAGCGTTCACAGCATCACAGAGTGGTTTGGCTTGGAGGTGACCTTACAGCTCATCCCGGCTCCACCGCCCCGCACGGGCAGGGACACCTTCCACTAGAGCAGCCCGTCATTTGCCGAGCTAAATCAGTGAATATTTACCGTGTTGAGCAAGTGAAAGGCACCCTGGGGAGCTTTTCCCTGCTCTTCCTTCTGCGCTCTCCCTTGCTGGGAGAGAACAGCCTGGGGTCCCTGCCATCACCTCCAGACAGTGACGCCCAGGAAAGCTCTAAGTGCAACTGGGTTTGCGCGTCCATCTGCCCAGTAGCCAGCAGGTTTGGCAGAGGGGAGCGGGACCGCTGCCCTGCTCCACAGGCAGGAACACCGAAGCAAAACCCAACAAGGGCACCAGCAGCAGGATGGGGACAGGAGTGGGGCTGAAGACCAGCACTGCAGCACCACTACAGCCCAGCCATCTGGGTGAAGGAGATGGCATGTTTTAGCTGCATTTTAGCTAAAGGAGTGTTACTAAAGCAAATCGGTTGAAATTCTGTGCATGCACTTACACTGTTTAAAAGCAGGTTATTTTGGTGCGTTTTTGGCCACCGTTCAAGGAGGAAGAGACCCAGGCATGAACTGACAGAATCACCCTGCATGGGGAATTGTACTTGAACAGGGACTTTGCAGGGGGAAAATCCCAAATTGAAGCGTGATGCCCATTGTAGGGTGCTGGATCTCACATCCTATTCCAGCCTAACCATGAAAAACCCCCACAGACACTTTTAATGGGACACAATTCAACTGAAATCCAGATCCACTTCAGTACCATTTATCATCTCAGCTGACATCCTCAGCTATCCAGACTGAACTGCACGCTTGCAGGTCTAACACATACTGGTGGTAGAGCTTCAAGGTGAAAATTACTTCACCCCATAACCCCAGTGTGCATTTGCCTTCAGAGAGACACTTGGCAGTGGCTATGCTCTCCCAGAGAATGTTGTTTCCACACGGGCAGCGCTGGAGGAGCTTTGGGGAGGCAGGAAATGAGTTTTGCTTTCAGCCAGGCTCAAGTGTGAGAGGCAGGGAATACCAAGAAGGATGAGGAGAATTGTACAAAGGTGTGTTACTTACAGTGCTGCTTTGTTTGAAATAATTGTCCTAAAGGACAATAAAGACGTGAATTTTCTTAGGGAAAATTGACCCTCGCTGACTTCCAGCTGTGAAACTGCTCTGATAAGAAATGTTAGTACTAACATCCTCTGTTTACTTTTGCTCGGTGAAGTCCTAAATACAAGCAGCTGCCAAAATTCCCCAGACACATGTGATGTCTTGTTAGCATTGACCAGCCCTGGTCATTCCTGATGAGCCAGGTGTGTGGGAGGGGGGATGCCCAGCAGGCTGGGAAGGCAATTGCAGAAGCTGGGGGCTGGTGGTATAAATCCCATTGATCCTGCAAAAGGAAAGTGCTGCTTCTATGCTTTTATTTTGTTTGCTGGGCCTTAGGGGCTTTCCTTTTTGTGGAAGGAAAGGGCTCACAGCCACACTCGGGAGCTGTTCTTTAGGGTGTGAAGAAACGAGTTGCCTGTGCTTTGACTGGTAGAAAACTGTCCTTTTCTTCCCTGAAGCTGGTTGCCCCTTGCTGGAGTAGTCTGCTCAGCCTATGGTCTAAAGTGCTCCTGAACCGTTCGCTTTGCCTGGGTTTGTCATGCACCTCTTACTGAAAGGCCAGATTTTCACATGCATAACCTTAATGTACACCTTGGAGAAAGGGGTAAATTCCCTGGTGGGCAGCTCCCTGCCAGGGTGAAGAGGAGGCATTGCCCTGAGCCGGGGTCCTGCTCAATGTTGTGACTCCCCCAGGCCTGCCACAGAGCTGAGAGAGGCTGTGTCTGTTCCCCTGCAGAGGAGGCGTTGGGTGGGTGAGCAGGCACTAAGGAGACAGGTGGGGTTTACTTCTTCTTCTGGTAAGCCTGACAATGTCTTCCGAGCCCTCCTACTCACTGAGAGGGAGGCAACCACTGCTAGAGGTGATCAGGCTGGTCTACAGCAGGAATATTTACTTGGGAGCAGTGATGTCTTGAATGCCCTTGGAGCAATGTTCCTGCTAGAGCTGAGTGATGGAGGAGGGCTCTGTGGGCAGGGGTGAGAGCCACAACATTGCTTTTCAGAGGCAGATTAGTGTTTAAAAGGCCCTGAGGACATCAAACCCATCACAGTTTGGGGTCTGTAAGACCTCTGATAATTCTTGCATAGTATGGGCTTAATTTGGCCATATCACTGATGGAGTGTTGAGTGAACTGAGTTCATCCTCAGATAGAACCATAGAATGGTTTGGTTTGGAAGAGATCTTAAAGCTTACCCAGTTCCAGCCCCCTGCCATGGGCAGGGACACCTTCCACTAGACCAGGTTGCTGAAAGCCCTGTCCAATCGGGTCTTGAAGATAAAGGACACAGAAACAGCAAATCACCCAGGGAGAAGCGTAATAGTTATTGCTTGAGTGCTGCACACGTGTTTTGTTGGCAGGCAGACTCCACCAACAGTGAAGCTGCTTCGCTCTGACCGTGAGAGTTTCTCCCTCCTGTGTTGAAGATGATAATGTTATGCGGTGGTGAGATCATCTCCCTGGAGATGAAACTTTGCCAGCAAAGGAGCGAATCCGTGCTACTGAATCTCGCTGCTCAGACATCCGAGATGTTAAACGGAGCAATTCAGAAATGCATTGGACCATCTTGGAGACGTGAAGTCTGGCTCCACGAGTGACACATTAAACACAAACTGCGTGTGGAGCGTAAATATGTTTTTGACTTTCTAGCAGAAGAGTCTCAGTTTGCTTTGTTTTGCCCTTGATTGTAATGCCAGAAACCATTCTAAATACCACTACTCTTGATGGTGTTAGGAAACATTATATGCCTCATTTGTTCTCTAATTTGTATGGAAACAGCTTACTCCTGCCTTTTGGTTTCTGTAAAGCTTGCTGATAGCCAGGGAGTCAAATGCTTTAGTTTTGCTATGAATACTTTACTGTAAATGTGGTCATCCTTGCTGTTCTTTTCTCGCTAGCTTTGTTACCCCCTTTCAAGGGACTGTGGTCCTCTGACACCAAACAAGTGTGCATAAACTGCCATTATTCAAAGGATGTGACTGAGAGCTTGCATTACAGTGTTTAAAGCCCAAACAGCATCTTTTTTCATAGAATCATAGAATAGTTAGGGTTGGAAAGGACCTTAAGATCATCAAGTTCCAACTCCCCTGCCATGGGCAGGGACACCTCACACTAAACCATATCACCCAAGGCCTCGTCCAACCTCGTCTTGAACACTGCCAGGGATGGAGCATGCACAACTTTCCTGGGCAACCCATTCCAGTGCCTCACCACCCTAACAGGAAAGAACTTCCTCCTTATATCCAATCTAAACTTTCCCTGTTTAAGTTTTAACCCATTACCCCTTGTCCTATCACTACAGTCCCTAATGAACACTCCCTCCCCAGCATCCCTATAGGCCCCCTTCAGATACTGGAAGGCTGCTATGAGGTCTCCACACAGGCTTCTCTTCTCCAGGCTGAACAGCCCCAACTTTCTCAGCCTGTCTTCATACGGGAGGTGCTCCAGTCCCCTGATCATCCTCGTGGCCCTCCTCTGGACTTGTTCCAACAGTTCCATGTCCTTTTTTTGTTGAGGACACCAGAAGTGCACACAATACTCCAGGTGAGGTCTCACGAGAGCAGAGTAGAGGGGCAGGATCACCTACTTCGACCTGCTGGTCACGCTCCTTTTGATGCAGCCCAGGATACGGTTGGCTTTCTGGGCTGCAAGCGCACACTGAAGCCGGCTCATGTTCATTTTCTCATCAACCAACACCCCCAAGTCCTTCTCCACAGGGCTGCTCTGAATCTCTTCTCTGCCCAACCTGTAGCTGTGCCTGGGATTGCTCCAACCCAGGTGTAGGACCTTGCACTTGTCATGGTTAAACTTCATGAGGTTGGCATCAGCCCACCTCAGAAGTGTGTCAAGGTCCCTCTGGATGGCATTCCTTCCCTCCAGGGTATCAACCGAACCACACAGCTTGGTGTCATCGGCAAACTTGCTGAGGGCGCACTCAATCCCACTGTCCATGTCAGCGACAAAGATGTTGAACAAGACCGGTCCCAGCACCGACCCCTGAGGGACGCCACTTGTTACTGGTCTCCAGCCGGACATTTTCTCCCGCTCAGAAGGAGGTGACACTGCTGATTGTCTTTTGAGAGAGAAAAAAAGTGTTTGAAAACAACATGTTAAAATATTTCACTTTTTTATGAAGGTATCAGGGGTTCAGCTGGCTGGAGGGAGGATATGGTGCTGTGCATGGTGTGTGTGTTAAGGAAGAGGTCTGTTTGGTTGTGTATTTCTTAGTGGAAACCATTGGAGCTCGGAATTGATGCTCTTGGACCTGGTGTGACCTGTGAGAGCAAAACCTTGGCAGAGTTGTGCAGGAGGTGTTGCTTGAGACCCTCTTTCTGAAGAGATGCTGGTGGCCAAAGCTGTAGATCAGTAGCTCAGGCTGGAGCAGCATCTTGGTGGGAGACACCCATAGGGCAGGACATTGAGTCTGATGGAGCAGCAGGAGCCAGACATACAAGCTGCTTGCAGACCTGCTGGGTGCCTCTTTTCCACACATGTAAGACATGGCAGTACCCTAGAAATTTAGTAGTCCTGTAAATTTCCCTTCTTTTGTGTGATATTTTTCATCCTGGAGCCTCATTTTCAGACCCAGTTTGCTGTTACAACCCCACAGGCATTGATAGATTTATTCCTGACTTCCATTCAGTGAGGTTGCAGTCAAGCCTCCTGTTCTTTGGGTTGATTGTGTCTCCTTTATTTGCTTACTTCTGCAGAAATCTTGATGCTCAGGAGCATTTTCCTTCCTTCCCTGCCTTTTCTCCATTACTGCTGTAATTCTTTGTGGTGAGTTGACTTTGAGTTTGTCATGTGGTAACAAATTATTGCACGGGAACAGCTGCAAACAAGTTATGCCTTAAAGAAATGCCTCTCAAAAATAGCTACATATGGGCATACCATATGACACAGCCTCCTTGTCTCCTGATACCCCAGCCATATTTCTGTGTGTGTAATGTCTTCAGCAGCAAGTATGCCCCAGCTGGTGGTCAAGGCTGAGCCCTGAAGAGCTGCTGTAGGTCACTGGCACACCCCTGGGGATGCTCAAAGCCTGGGGCTGCCACGTGGAACGGTTTGTCTTCCTCCCCATGTCCCAGCATGAGGGAAAATGTCCCCCATCAGTCAGGCCTCCTGCTGCTGATGCCCATATCTGTGAAACCAGATAAACGTGAGCATCATCCAAACCAGTCCAAAAGGCCATGACAGGCACTGTACAGGCTTCTTGGTGCCTTTCCCAGCACCTTTTCCTCTGCAGGGAGCAATCCCTCAGATGTGTTTTAGTCCCTACATAAAGGGGGAGAGCAGGTATCCTGGCCAGGAGGTAGCAGCACATTGCCAGTAAAAGCCAGTGTGGCTGCTTTGATGCATTTTGCAGTCCATTTTTCTTTTTCTTCTATCCTTTTAGCACAAGTTTTTGGCTGTTCATATTCTGATCACACAGGAGGAGCTATTTTCTGCAGCAATGCCTTTCTGTGTTGCCTGTGTGACTCTGACTTGCGTTTTTGCTCATCACAGAAAATGCAAAGGGGAAGGTGGCTCTCTGTTTGGGGTGTATTATGAATGAACTTGAAGTATGGTGGGTTTTTTTTGGTTTGGCAATATTTTTTTCCACAGAAAAGCTTTTTCCTTTGGCTGTGGGGGGTCTATAATCTCTCTGTAGCTTGTAACTGGACAAATTCAGGGCCACCAGTGACGGTCATCATACACCTTCACTTATCTGCTTGCTTGCACCCTTGGAGCATTGCAAGCCCAGGTTCCTGGGCAGTATGATGGCAGGGAAGCTTGCCCTACAAGGAGGCAATAAAAAAGCTGCATTGATAACGCATGTTATAAAGGAAATCACTTACATATCAAGGGCTGTGCCTCTTGCACCTTGTCTTTGGGAGCTGCTGTGAGCTGCCCGACTGGGGGGGCTGGAAATTCCATTGGGGATCACATTGGCTAATGTTCAGTCCTGTGTCTGCAGTGTTTTAGGTGCATTTAGTCAGTCCTCAGAAAACTGATATTGCCATAAAAAGCACCCAGAGACTCCTAAATTTTGTAGGATACAAAGCACTTTCTACCCCCATTAAAGATGGATATCAAAATGTCTGCTACTTGGTTTGTGCAGGAAGCTTAAGGGATGTGTAAAATGCCATTGCAGAAAACAATCATGTAGTTATTTACTCCTGCATGAGATAAAGACATGGAAGGCATAAACCATGAAAGCAATGAAAGGAAGTACCGTAATGCAATGTCCTATTGATCTGTGGGATTTGCTGCTGCTTAAGATGATGGTGCTGCAACTAACATTTCTAGTTGTACTAACTAGAATAAAAATAATTACAGGATGAAAAAAACTTTAAAACACAAGCTCCTTAGGCTTAAAGCTTTCTACTGCTCACTTGTTAGCTGGCAGGGTACAGAAGAAAGGCTTTCTGCCATCCATGCATATTACTGCAGTGCCCAGTTACACATGCTATGAATGTTTTATGTCTCACTCCAGAGTTGCTTGTAACATCTCCTCGGGAAGGCTGAGTGCCAGACCTTTGGCTGCTAGAAATCGATGTAGTGCTGCTGACTTAGGAGGCAGACTGCCCCTGCCATGGGCTCAGATGGCTCCCTCCCAGCACTGGTATGGGATCTCATGCATGCAACAAAATCAGAAGATGTCCAAGAAACAGGGTAATAAATGAAGGAAAACCTTGCTTCTTGCAGGGGGAAAAACAGGCTGGCATCTCAGAGATGGGGAACTGGCACTACAGACTTGAATAGCACAAGGTGGTGGGGACAGTGTTCTTAACAGTCCCTCTCCTGCCAGTGCCTTTGCCCCTTGATGTGGCAGGGTGGCTGCAACGACTTACAGCTGCCTGGGCTTTTACAGGTGGCACCCATTTGTAGCTGGGGTGTAATCAGCAGCACTGTAGCACAAAGTAAATGATTAATTGTAATTATGGCGTGTTGCAGAGCTGTAGTTGAGAGCCTTTCTCTTAATTTCAAGCCCTAGTTAATGCACTGCTGTAATAGCTATCCCAGCAAACCCTGGTGATAGACATTAGCAGGCTTAGTGAGTGAGGAAGCTGGGAGACAGGCAGCAGGAAGGAGACAGCTTGACCTTTCCTTAAGCAATGTTTTTGCGTGTGGTAGAACACCTTAACATCGTGGATGCTGCTACAATAGCTTTCATTGCTTCCTTTTTCAGAGTAGAGAGAGGGTCAGGCTCTTCAGGAGCTGGGAGTGGGCTCCTGGCCTCACTGTATCTGCATAGCTTCCTGGCTACCCACATCCAGACTGTGTATGGAAATACCCTGCTGTCTGCTTACACTCAGATCAGATAAGTATTTGAGGGCATTTGTGCCAAGGAACAGATAACTGCTTAGATGATTTCTTCCCAGTATGCAGCCAGAGTTTCCACTGCACTTCAGATCAAATATACTTTCTGCTAATGGAAAAGGAAAAATAAAGATAATTTAAAATCAAACCCAGGGACTGCAGGAACCAGGGGGTTGATTCTTGGGAAGTTTTGACTACTTCTGAGTTGCATTAAAGCTGATTGATGCGGGCTCAGATTGCATAATAATTCATAGGAGAAACCCAGCTCACAGGAATAGCTGCTTCTTCAGCGATGTGCTGCTTTGACAGGCAGGTCTCAGAGACCACACAGTGAACATCGAGCTTCTGAGGATATCTGTCAGCCCTCTCTGAAGTGATGCATAACTTCGTCATGCACAAGAATAAGGCGGCGCGCAAAAGACTGATGCGTTTTTTTTCCTGCCTCCACCCAGGCCCCCCGAAAGCTCATGTATCCTTGAACCCCTACCAAAGAGAGTCACTAACTGGGTCTGTGGGTCTTCTTCATAACAACAACTTGTAGGGAGACCAGATGAGAGCTGAGA